CTCGTTTTTTTTTGTATAGATTGCTTTAGTTAGCCCGGTTGTATATGCTTGTAAAAGACAGATAATGCTTAGTTGTATTTTTTTTCTTGTGATCATTTATTTAGAACATTGAATAAAATGAATAGTATTGACAATAAAGATATTAACTTGAGAATAAACCATCTATTATACATATTTGTTTTTGTTCGACTTACAATCACTCATAAATAGTAACAACAATGAGAAATAAACTTGTGGTATTGTTCTGTTGGGGTGTGGGTGTGAGTCTAGATGTAGAGAAGATCAACACTCACTCATCGACACCAACACCCACCCATATCCCAGAGATGTCCATCGCGGCTCAAAATCTGCCGCTGCCGCGCCGCGGCCAAAATCAAACAAAGCTGCCGCGCCGCTCCCGCGACGCGATGGCCTGTTAAAAAAAGCTACCGCGCCGCTGTCGCGACGCGTCTTAAAAAAAAACTTGCCGCTACCGCGCCGCTGCCGCGCTGGTATTCGAAAAAATGTTTTGATTTTCAAGGCTTTGACTGGTTTGAAATAGAACTGATGCCGCTAATCGATCAGATTCGCTAAGTCTTACAGTATAGCATACATAAACATGCAGATTCTGTGCAAACTCATGAATTTTTAAAATTTTTTCCTAAAAAGCTGCCGCCGCCGCGCCGCTGCCGCGACGGCAAAATAAAAATCTCTCCCGCGCCGCTGCCGCGCCGCGATAGTTTTTGGAAAAAATCTGCCGCTGCCGCGCCGCCACCGCCACGGCGGCAGCGGCAGCGGCAGCGCCGCGATGGACATCTCTGCCATATCCTTGCTGAATATGGTTTGTTGGATGCTCTTGATCTTAATTATGATATTTCTCGTAAATATACACCACCATGTTATGATAAAGAACTTCAAGGTCTTGTTGATGGTAGTGGTGTATCATATAAAGATATTCGTCGATTTAATCTACTTCGAGAATTAATCAAAGCTGCATGCAGTGTATTAGGAGCATGGGGTGAATCAGCAATATCCTCAACATATTACTTCATCTTCGTTCATTAGATTGGGATGAAAAATCTCCAATAGCTAAATATGCAATAGTAACTATCTATCATCCAAATGCATCTTATGTTTTTGGTAATTTTGGTTATGCTGGTCTTATTGGATCAGTTGGAGCTTATAGTGAAGTTTCAATTGGTTTAGGATAAAAAGTTTGGATAACAACTGAACAAGATATAACTTCACGTTTTGGTAATCCATGGACATATGTTCTTCGAGATGTAGTTCAATTTTCAAATTCACTTGATACTGCTTTAACTATGCTTATTAATACAAAACGAACTTGTTCAGTTCATCTTGGTCTTGGAGAATTTCATCGAAATACTTCAAATAATAATAATATTGGATTTCTTGGTATTGAATATAGTGCAAAAGAATTTAATGTTTATTCATGAAAAGATATGTATAATACATCAAATCATTCATGTTTTGCTAGTTTATTAATTGATCATTATGGTCATTTTGATGCAATAAGTATTATTCGAAATATAACTAGTTTATTAGAAACAGGAAATACATTAAATTTAATTTATTGATTATAATGAAAATGCAGCTTATCTTGCATATAGTGCACCGGATGATCCACATGGACCAATTGAAGCTTTTTATTGTGTTCATACGCGACTTGATATGATGAAATTATTTGCTGAACTTTCATCAAAAATTGAAAATTTCAAATAAAATTTTCATGAAATTTTTTCTCATGGTTTTTTTTTTCGCTTGAAATTCGAAGAAGAGAACAGAACTCAACAAATGAGGACGATTGATAACAGATGAAATAAGGACCCTTAAGAAAGTTGATTGAGATAATTAATGCCAATCACATGTAAGTCGAGTCCGACCATAGATGATAATCAGTATTTTATACCTACTGATCCCACAAGTGACCAAAGATTGTGTTTGGGGCGAAAACTAATATGGCATTCTGAATCAGCATTGAAAAATGAGTGAACGTCTATGTATTACATGATAGTAGAAGTCAAAATAGATGAGTAAGTAATAAAAACAAGATTTGATGAATTTTATTATTTTCCGTAATCCTGAGAAAGAATAGGGTGTATTTTTCGATGAAGCGATGTTCTGGAGAACGGTGAGGTGTTAGAAATTCGTTCGAACTATGTTAAGGAGAGCATTATCTCGAGATGATATCAAGGATTTTGAATCTTCAAGATGAGTTTTCATGTATCTTCAGTAAGTTCCGAAAGATGATGATTTTGATGACTTGGCCTTCATCTTTCACTCAAGATAATTAAAAGTGATGAGCTAGTCTTTAGACAACTTTTGTGAACAGGAGAAATAATGAAAACTTTCGATGGTACAGGATCGACTTTAAGGGAAATCGTTTTATCATTCTTATGTTAATTGAAACTTCATTGCCGAAACCTGAGATTGCTTCACACCACATTTATGTAGTCTTTTGTAAATTATCTTCTTTTACTTATTAGACATACATATCGAAAATTATTTTCTGTTGCGATGGCCTCGAGAACGAAGAGTCAGAAAATACGCAGATAGACTCCTTATTTAAGCATCGAAGAAGATAACAGTTATTTTGAAAACATGGATATGTGCGACTTTTTTTCCGTACCACACGCTTATAACCATTTGAAATCAAAACGGATTATATAGCTTCAGCTCTTTACCTGTGTTACACTATAGGGTGTGAGCCGGGAGAACGGTCATTCTTCAGTCGATCCACACCCACACCCAGATCACAGATCTATTAGACAGATAAAAAATTGTTAAGTATGATAAGATGTAATATATTACATGAAATACATACCTATGATAACAAAATTCAAAACATTAATTTGGGTGTGGGTGTGGGTGTACAGAAAAAGAACACCCAAACCCACACCCACACCCACCCACCCACACCCACACCCATCCAGAAGTTTCATACCCACACCAACCCACACACCCACACCCCGCATTCCGCACCCACACCCACATACCTACACCCCGCACCCACACCCAGATCCACACACGCGCACCCCACACCCACACGCACAACTCAATTCCTTTATGGTAGTTTCACGGCTAAAGGATGCGCCGTTTCTTATTGTAAAGCAAAAAGAGAGAATCAGTATTTGCTAAAATTTCTTTGTATTGTGTAACATTTGTCGGACGGATACATGGGGTTACTTTTCTGTTATCATTTCGAAACAGGTAAGAAACTCTTCCAAGATAAATGACATTGTTGTTCGTTGGAAAGAAACCGACTACTTCCTATCAAGTCTGAGTAATGACTTTGTTTGTCATTGTTTCAAAGTCAATATAAAAAGATTTATTCAACTTCCTATATAAACCGTGGATTAGAGCTGTACGCTGTTTTATTCGCTCTAACGAGACAAAGCATTAGCAACGCACACGTCGAAAAGCTAGAATAACAAGCGATACGCAAGTTACCAAAGTCAGTAAGTACTACTGGATCTATCTTTTTTCACAGCGTTCCTGTTTTCTTTTCGGAGCTTCTAGAGAACGGTTGATGACGATGACATGAAACCTATAGAAAATAGATTTTGACTAGTAGAGCAGAAGGTGTGTTACTCTTAAGAAAATCTCCTGCTTTCGTCAGAGTAATATCTATATCGCAAGTTGCTGGCCTCGGATTGCGAGTTTCTGAAAAAAGTAGGAATTCTCATAGGATTGGAGCGTCCTGAAATATGGGATTTTTGAGTAAAAATGACAAATTTATAGGACATTCATGCACTGCTTGTATTGAAAAATTTCATTGCGTTAATATCTTTATATGAGATTTGTCAAACAACTAACATGAATGATCAAACTGTGATCATGTCTTGCTCAGTGATTGCCTGTGCTGAGATAGAAACCGATTGAAAAATCATCTCAAATGTCAGTCACAATATATTTCATTGATATACTAGCTCATAAAATGAAAAAATAAACTATGGGCTAAGTTCATGGATATCCATCCAGTTTTTGGAAAGCTTTTTGTGAAATTTTATGCGTTGATTTGATGAATAGGAGAAAAGAAAATAACGGGTGAGGCATAATAAATGGAGCACTTTTGCGTTTCGTTTTTTTAACGCTTATTACATTATATCCAAAAACCAAAACATACCACAAGATACAGCATGAAGAGCTCTACAATGTACAAAGACGGCTTATTTTCTATGCCCACATTCTGTTTCGAAAATGAACTAGATTTTGAGTGATCAAATTTTGACCGTGCGAAAAAGTCGTTTTCTCAATACACCATGAATTCATGTTTTCATTCGATCTATTCAAACGCTAATATGTATC